GAAGTCTCACTGTACATTCACTCTCACTATTGTTGTATCAATGTTTTGTGTGTACTTGAAAGCAGCGGTAGTAACAGTAGAAGTCTTCAACTCCATAAGTAATTGACGTATAATGAGTAATTGATGTGTGCACCAGTCTTGTCCTTTCAAGTACACACTCTGATAGTTATGACAACAGTGACACATATTGAACTTTTATAATCTCCATTCAAAACTTGTCACTGACATCTGCAAATATCTACCGCTTTTGTTTCCCTTGTTTCGCTGGAGACTAAATCTATTAATATAAATATTCTATGGTGAATAGGTGTGTGCTAAAATATTTATATATATTTACATTTTTAAAAGGACATTAGAATAAAAATGTTTTTGCATACAATATTTGATACACATACATACAACCCAATATTGGATATGTACAAAATATTGTCTCAGAAATCCACATGTAATAGGATATTTTTATATAAATGAAAGATAAATGCACCTATAATGTTGTATTTAGCCAAATTCATGAGTAGTAATGACCTAGCAACCAAAAAGCCAATCGAGAATGGCGCTGTGCTGTTCTTCCGCAGAAACAGGGACAGAAGGCACCTGATTGGTCGGTTGATCGAAGTTATATCTGGAAGACATTTTTAAAATACATAAACACGAGGATCTTTGTGCGCAGTGGCTCCAAACCTTTTGCAGAAGATGACAAAGTCTGGGATCGTGTCTTTAATATCAGACAGAAGACATGTTTTATTGTCGATAGTGGAGACAGCACGAACACGAACAAGGATTTTACAGACTGCAAGTGATATTATACAGCATGGAGGAATGAGCACCGTCCAATCAGCTTTCGCCGTGATGCCAGCAGCTTCGACCTTGAGATAACCACAATAATGGAAAAGTACTGGCTTGTGCATATGTTAGAATGATGAGTTAGAACTTTAACCACAGTTGCTTCAAAGTGTCTTGAAATACCTAAACTTTTTGCCCAATGTACCCCCTCCCCTTGGCACTTGGTACAAAATATATTATTAGACCCCACAATTTTCAGGAAGATTAACTTGATTTTGTTCTTAATGTTGTAGTAAATTTATGTATAATCTGTCAGGAAATGTTTTACAGATTGACGTGTTTCTCTCGGGGAAAACTCATGCATGTTACGTATTATTAACTGGACTGGGACCATATTTTTTGCAACGTTTTGGGTTACAAGCATTTTGTGTCTTTCAGAGCTGGAATAAAAAGGTATTGTGGGTAGCTTTATTGTTGCTAGTAAAGATGGGGTACCTAACTTTATTTTGCTCATTAATTATACAGAAAAAGTCTTGTAGGAGTAAAATGTTGAATCAAATCAGACCACAACTTACTTCATCTGATCAGAAAACATGTTATCATATGTATACTTGTGAGGAGATCCTTGTGAGTCACAATTTGACGCTTTAGGATGAAAGCTGAAAGATGGTCTTTTTTCGCTTTTCTGTCTGAAAAAACTTGTCTAAAGAAGTGATAGAAGCAAAAACTGTAACTGTCAAACTGTTTTGAGAGCGAGGAATTTTTATTGCGTAGATTTCTCGTTTTTAAAGTTGGATACCCCAGCTTTAACAGTTTTAATCATCTGCGGTTAAATTGTTTCCTAGTGAAATAATGGACACAACCATGATCACCGAACTAAAATGTTATGAGCCTTTTGTGAATGGTTAACGGGAAGACAACTATAACTCCAAACTGAAATCTGTTTTTCATTAACATGGGCTTGATGGTTTATGCGAATACATGAAGGCTGCTACTATTTCCCCTTTTGAAATGAAATGAAGTGTGCCTTATTTGCCAATGGGATCAAACATAATAGGATTTGTGTTTCCACTGTGATTTTCCTTATGTAAAACACAGCAGGCCACTGGAGCAGATACTCTCCAGGCATTTTCTAACAGAGCTGTACTTTGGTAGAAGCATTATGCAACTAGACCCACATCAGACCACTGTACTGCGTAGTGTTTATACTTGTTATCTATGTATTCCTTTAAAGGAGCTATACCCGTTTCTGTAAGGTTTTAATGTTTAGCACCGCCCCCAACTCACTCACAGGCTTCTCATTTCCCCTACGCTCTCATCCCACGGAGCCATCTAGTTTTATTTGCGATCTGATACGTATGTAAACATTGGCATGAGCGCAACTTCTTGTAAGCTGTGCAACAATCACTGATGAAATGGTACAAAACCAACGCACTGCTAACACAATATATAACTGAAAAATTACCGCTAGTTTTGCGTCCGAATGTAGTCCGAGTATAGATAGTCCGAGCACAGATAGTCCGAGCACAGATAGTCCGAGCACAGATAGTCCGAGCACAGATAGTCCGAGCACAGATAGTCCGAGCACAGATAGTCCGAGCACAGATAGTCCGAGCACAGATAGTCCGAGCACAGATAGTCCGAGCACAGATAGTCCGAGCACAGATAGTCCGAGCACAGATAGTCCGAGCACAGATAGTCCGAGCACAGATAGTCCGAGCGCAGATAGTCAGAGCGTAGATAGTCAGAGCGTAGATAGTCCGAGCGTAGATAGTCCGAGGCGGTCCCGCAGGTCTCTCAAATAGACAAGTCTCTCCAGAGGATACGATGTAAGCTAGCTATGTTCACCCGGGCTTGATTTCTTCTTTGATCATGTTTTGGCTTTAGTTCCCTCTTCTCTTCCTCACTGTTGTGTGGTTTGGGCTGTTTTGCTGAGTCTGCAGTTACAGCCAGAGGAGTTATATCCACTTATGCTAACATGCTACTGTGTTTAGCAGCGCTGTAGAGGCTAGAGGACGCAGCCTGATTGGAGGAGAGCGGGCGTCACGCTAAGTCTCTACTCAGCACTTTTTACGGCCTGAATTCATACACAGCTGAATCAATGAGCTCAAGTTTTACATTACATTACAGATTATAATACAACTTGTATGTAGTAAATCGCATTTTTATGAACTCATAAAAAAAAAATGAGGTATAGCGTCTTTAAAGTACCTCAGAGTGTATTCAAAAGACATAAAACAACATTCCAAGGTTTTGCCCAGTATTTGTCCCAACAGAAAGAGTCTTGTAAAAGCTGGTGTGCCAGAAGACAAAGAAGAAGGAATCTAACTATGTAATTTTGTTCAGAAAAATCCATCAGAAAAGATTTTTTTAACACAGTGAAATCAAACAAACGTGTCAAAGTACCTTTTCATTTGACAACAATGATTTGGATGCAAAGCAGGCAGAGTGATCCATTGGTTGCTTCTGACACTAGTGAGGGTATATGGAGTTATTCAGAGTGCAGACCCAGCAGGGAGTCTCCACATCATCTGTCACTGCTGACGTCCAAACGCTTCTTCACACGTCTCCAAAAAACAAAATGCAAAGGCTGTGGTAACACGTAGCATCAAGGGACAAGCTCATGTTAGGAATAACTATCCAAACACTGAAAACGTAGTGGGATTATTTTAATATTGTTGCCAAAAACATGAATCAAAACAGCACAAAATACAGCAACAGAAAGTCTTGTAAAAGTAACAAGTTGTAACCAGATCAGACCAGAACATGCTGTGTTCATTACTTACTAAACATTGGGGAGGCAGCGTTTCAGATAATGCAGCTAAAATCTAGGACGGTCTTGAGTGGTTAGTAATCTAGAACGGTGGCTGAGTAGGATAGCAGTCTCGCGTCTCGGCAAGAAGGTCCTTTCTGAGTGGAGTTTGTATGTTCTCCCCGTGTCTGCGTAGGTTTCCTCCGGGTGCGCCACTAAAAATATGCACAGTAGGTATGAATGTAAATGAGAGAGAGAATGGATGGTGTTGATTGGAGCTGATGGTCCAGTGTGTTCGGCGACTCGGTTCTGTCATCACCGTGTGTGGAATGATTGGAACAATATCTGACTCTGAACATTGTAAAGCGCTTTGGGTGACCTTGGTCTGTAAAATGCGCTATATAAATAAACTTAATTACTTACTAGGCAGGCAAGTTTATTCATAAAGCATTCATACACGAGGCAACTCAAAGTGCTGAACAAGATAAGAAAGCATTAAAATTATAAATAATTACAGTACATTAAAAAGGAAGAAAAAAATATAAAATCCCTCAGTTGTATGCACAGCTAAACAGAACTGTTTTCAACCTGGTTTTAAACATTGTCAGAGAGGAGGCCTGTCTCACATCTTCAGGAAGATTGTTCCAGATTTTAGAAGCATGAATCTGAAAAGCAGCCTCCCCATGTTTAGTTCTGACTCTGGGCACTAACAGGAGTCCAGTCCCTGTGCTCCTCAGAGTCCGGGCCGGTTCATATGGCACTAACATGTCACTAATATATTTTGAGCTGTTTTAAAGTCTATTCTATTACTACTACTTACTTACTTCCTGAAAATGAGAGACGGGCCTCTTCTCTGACAATGTTCAAATCCACAATTCTGTTTATCTGTGCATACAACTGAAGGATTTTGTCTTCACTCTTTTTAATTTACTTGATTATTTATGATTTTTGTGCCCTGTTTTGTGAAGCACTTTGAGCTGCCTACTTTATGAACTGTGCTATACAAATAACCTTACCTTGCCTATTAGAAAACATGTTACTTTGGGGTGAGAGTGAGGGTGGTCCTCTTTTCACTTGATCTAGAGCTAATCTAGAGCTAATCTAGAGCTAATCTAGAGCTGATGTAGCCAATATTTTGTAAGGGAAGTGCCTGGTTAGTTTCTAGTTTCTTCAAGAACACCCTTTTACAGAGGTTTTTTTTTTTTTTATTGTAACAGCCGCAGCATGCAGCCACATCTGTGTTTTTTCTGCTTAAAAACCAGGGGATTTGCAGCTATTTTTTGCTCGTTTTTGTCCAATTGAGCCAAAATGCCTGTGCACAGGGCTTCTAGGTATTACAGATTATAATAAAAAATGTTTTAAAGCAATGCAAATGTGTGGTTGTTGTGCTTTTGCTGTCGTGGGATGACATTGCCCACAGCTTTCTGTCTCTTCACTAACATGTTTTTATCTCCTGCCTCCACAGCTCAGGGACTTGTGTGTGCAAAACCGGAGTCTATGGCCCCAAATGCGACGACTGCCACCCAGGATTCTTCCACTTCAGCAGCACGGGCTGTAGACCCTGTCAGTGCAACAACCACACCAGCAACTGTCACCCCCAGTCTGGTGAGTCCATCTCTGACCTGTCCTGGGGCTTTGTCTGTAAAATGTTGCACTAAACAAAAACTCTGATTTTCAAGTAAAGTTGTCTTTTTGTAGAAAATATTTTTACTTCATTTAATGAAAAAATGAATGAAGTCCTACCCTTTTCACTCAATGCAGATCACTAACTTAGACTGTGTAGATGAACAATGCTAAACCACTATCTCAAAGTATCCCAATAGGGAAGTGCTGGTGGACAAAGTTCACACTCTGGCTCCTATTGACCTAAACTCCTATTGCTCAGAAACAATTTGTGTCACAATCAAACATTTTGGGCTTTAAAGGTTTCGTTCCCTTTTTGATCCTGGTGTTTATATTTTGATAATGACTTTGTGAAAATGTAAATCCAGGATTTCAATATCCTAGGCATATCCTCAATCCTCAATCAAGGATTGAGGATATGCCTTCATTCACAGGGGAAACTCCAGCTTGCCTTAGTACCCATGTTAGCAACACGTTAGTTTGCATTTGGCCCTGTTACTGCGCGAAGCTCACAGTATGTAGCTCCTTATGTGGACAGTTGTCTGAAACAACTGTCCACATAAGGAAACCAGCTCCAGCAGTGGAGGTTAGCAATGGCTCCTGGACTCTTGTACCGCAGAGCCGGCCTGTCACAATAATTACTATATCAACTTTTTCTCTGTTAATCAATTAGTCGGCCAATTATCACAAAAGGCCTGTGAATGCAGTATTTTTAAATACATTTCACAAAAACAAAGTTACAAGGATATGTCTCAAGAACACTAAAGCTCAAACTACTAAACGATGAAAGCGAAAGGGCACGCCTTGTGAAATCCTTGTCCGCGATAGATTATACAGATGCTCATATAACATCCTTTTCTTAATAACTTAAGTGCTATAGCGGTTAATCTGTTATTCGCCACCAGCAGCTGTAAATCAGTGATGGACAAAGCTTAGAAGAGGAGGGAATTTGCTGAGAGTTCATAATTTATTCTAAAGCCATTGAGAAGGCCACATAGTGAGTGAATGAAAGGCGCTGCTTTACGTGTAAGAACAAAAGAGGAATAAAAGTCTCCTGTCTGGAGGGAAACTCCCACACACCTGGGAATCCTGGACAGGTGCTGCGAGGCCCCGCCCACCCAGTCTGAAACAAAGAACATCTCCCCCACTACAACTTATTCTCCAGGGAAACTGGTGCAAATCTGTCTCCAGTTGATTGCTTCCTCCGATCTCACACCAGCTGTTAAAAAACCAAGAAATATATCAACCCTTGATAAAAACTTGTTCATGAGGTAATGAAATGAAAAACAATCACTATTTGTGGACTCAAGAATCAACTAAGAAGAGAGCAGGACAAAATCTGACAAAACTCTGCATCTCCATCTGATGCAAACAAACTATATAAAGAGACCAGTTAAAGCTGGGTTTAGCGAGCTTAACCCAAACTTAGTCTGATTGTTTTGTTTAAATGTGTGTTTTAAGACTCACAAATGTCCCTCTACCAGAGACAAATGTATACCAGTATGCTTGTACGAGCGGGAGTATGCTATTCCTTACCTTAGCTGTTCCCATCTCAGCAATGAGTGGAGCTCCAGCATTTTACCGATCTGTATTCTGTAATCTATTGTATTTTTTTTTTCTGTACTATGCAATCTGTGGGGTTACTTGTTTGTTTGTTATTTAGTATTACTTATTTACCTATTTTTTTATATAATGATGCATGTATAATGTAAATGTGAAGTATTTCTATGTCTTAGGGACCAGGTCTGTAAACTAGCTGTTAGCTATAGACCTATGAACACAGCATCGGTTCCTGTAACAATGCTTCTTGTTCTGTCCCTTTTAAATAAACACATAATAATAATATTGATGCTAAACGTCAATACTTCTACAATTTGAAGTCGTAACGAGTCCATAGATGCTACTCTTTTCTTTCATATATGTGAGGCACCTAAACTGTCCTCACCTTAATTATAAGCATCCCCTGGAGGTTGGTAAAGCAATAGACGCCTCGAAACTAGAGAAACGGTACTAATGACATAATATGAAGATGTAAGTTATTGTATATTAGACAGGTATGCAGTCTACAATTCAGCATATGATAAAACCTGCACGTCACCCCCTTCCCCTTTTACTTTAATACCTGAAGAAGATGACAAAGTCTGGGATCGTGTCTTTCATTCAGACAGAAGACATGTTTTATTGTCGATGGTAGAGACAGCACGAACAACAGATACAACAGAATGCAAGTGTATTATACAGAGCAGAGGCATGGAGACCTCCAATCAGCAGCTGCCACAGTGCCATGTAGCTTGGCCTTCAGATAGACAAAACAAGGGAAAAGTACTGGCTTCTGCACATTGATAGAATGATGAGTTTAACTTTAACAAAAGTTGCTTAAAAGTGTTATGAAATCTCACATTCCCCCCTCTTGGTAGCAGAATTATGCCTGCACCGGTTTGAATTCACACGGTCATAAACTGAAAACATCCTTGTAATCGGACATTACACAGTCAAATCTGCCGTTCCCATATCTCCACTTCAAAGTACATTTTCACTAACAAAGGATCAAATTACAAGTTTAATTAAATTCTTTGTTTGTCTCCCCTATATCGCTGAGCTTTTATAGGCCTCTCCCTCTAAACCAGTCATTATATTAGGACCCCCGGTGAAAGCAGCAGCTGTGTATGTGAATGGACTCATGGACAGTTTAGACGCAGCCAGAGAAACTCATTAACTTGTCCATAAACCAAACTAAAAGTCTTTTGGCTCTTATCACCTCTGCGTTATTTACCCACACTAACATGCTGTGTTTAATTTTCGGATTTTCGGCTGCACACAAACTGCCTCGCTCCATTTAAGACAATATTGACTTTAGAAAGAAGAAAAGATAGACTGTTGCTTTGGGTGCTTTTGTCCCTTGCCGTGGCCTGTAGTCTGGACCATGCAATTTAAAAGACAGATTATAATATTGTCTCAAATTTGAAATATTATGCATACATTTTACTTTGTCATTGTATGTTATAGAATGTGAAATTATGTATGTTTAGTGGAAATTATACAGAGAAACAACTATCATGGGTTAACAATGCGACCTGCCTCCAACTCCCCATGCTACCACTAGAGGGACGACACATCTCACACTTGTCCACATTGACCTGCTGCAAACTTAGCTACAGTGATTGTAAAGGATGTTGTTTCACCTCAGAAATTTCCAAAACAAATTTATGGGCAATTCTTTTGTTTTAAAAGGCAGAAAACTCCCTCACCCACATTGTGTATTCGGAATGATCTATGGCAAGAGTACATGCTATCAAGTACTATTAACGTTGGAGTCGTCACATTTTTTTTGCGTCTTTTCTTATTGAACAGTTTTCTCTATTTTGTATTTTGTCTGTGTGTTTGTGTTTTTTTGGGTAAAAATATATATATGTGTGAGTGTGCGAGGCGTAATACAGTCACATGTTACTAACAGAGGTTTCTGATATTATTGTGGATGGATCTAAAAACAACTTCAGGTCTGTTTTTGATGATGTTATAACATGGTTAAAAGATCAAAACAGTGTATTTGCCTAATATAACTCCTTTTAATTCTTTTGTTGAATTATTAAAGATACACCTTGACCCTGTGAGCTTTGCCAAGTCAACCTTTAGTGTCGTTATGATTTAGTGATTGCAACTATGTATCCTTTCAAAGTGACATTCATACTGTAGCCTCGGTATCTAATGGACTGACACGGCGACTCAGGACTCTCATTGTGAAAGCTTGTCCAGTTTTTTGGACCCATTTCTGCTTTTCACCATGAGGAAGACTGGAACATGGTCTAAGCAATAGCGTCCAAGGAGGATCAATTGTTTTGATACGTCAGCCCTACTGTAGAAAGACTCAAGTATGACCTGAAGGAGCCACATGAATGTAAGAATGCTTGAAATCTGAACTACAGGTACAAGCTATTTCTGTAAGGCATTATATCGTTCTTTACAAGAGCATAGTCTGTTTTCTAATGATTGAGGCCTTTATGATTAGATGTGGTTTCAATTAGTGTCTAACCCTATTTGAAGGCAGTAATTTTGCTCATACAACTTGTAACCCATACAAGTATCATATGATAATTAGTGAGGCTAGAACCACCTCCCCACCCCAAGCCTCTTGTAGGTCCTGTATTTCTGACGTTCTCTGGCCCACCCTGCAGCCGGGGAGTTATTATTCTAGCTCTCTCCAATTTGCCCCGCGATAATGATAAAGGCTGCACAAATATAAATTCTCACAGACTCAAAGACAGCAGAGAAATGTTGATAGAGTGAATGATGAAATTCATTTAAATGCACCTCAATACAAGTCACCTGTTCCTTAGATAGACCAAATAAGGCGAGCCAAACAGGTTAACGAAATCATTTTTATGACCAAATGTACATTCCCTGGAGCTGTGTGCCTGTTCTTCATGTAGCTGGTCACATATGGCCATGGACTCAAACAAGAACCATATCACATGACACCTTCACCCATTGTAATGAAGGCGTAAGGGTCTGTTCAAAGCAAAACCTGTGTCTCCGCTCTCTCAAGATAGTGGTGTTTCAGATTAAAGGAGGAGGTGCGGGGGGCGGTCGCAGTGGCCATATGTCCTTCCAGAATAATGCAGGGCAGATGGAGCGCAGTGCGGCCTTGTGCGAGTAGATTACCCCGGGCAGAGGACCCTGTGCTCTCCCCACGGGCCAAGGACACAATGGGACTAATGCAAATATGACGGTCACCCACACACATGAACATGACAGATACGCGTCCCTTTCAACATAAAGAGGGTGAGATCTAAGTGTGTGCGGCTTAAAACTCAAGACATGAAGCTAAAGCAACACTTAAGTAGCGCATACCATATCATTTCTGTCTTATACCAAGACTTCTGAGGATTTAGACTGAGATGACTGATATCCATGGCTTGAACTAAGTGCGTCTCTTTAGTCACATGTTATTGTGTAAGCACGAGCAGCCTGATTCTCCCCCGTGCGTTTGAGAGAGACCTGTGTCACTGTCAACAGGCTCAGGCACGACCAGCTCACAGAAACGGGACGTTACAGGCCACATCTGTGGAGAGAGATGCAGTCATCAGCCATTTCCATTCAAGACAAAGATAATTCTGCAATGTCAGCACTGATATAACTGTCTGGTTACGGTTACGGCACAGGGAAGAAACATGCGGCATGGTGTCTGAGTGCAATATACAGTATTAGAACCCACTTTTATTCTCTGGCTTTCAGCACGGCTTGAGCTGTGTGGTTCTGTATTTTATTTATTTAATTTGTATGTATATATTTTTATTTCAAGATTTCAAGTTTTATAATTGTATTGTTTTTATTTTTTTTGTCTTATTTATGTCATATTTGTTGTTGGTATTTTTTGACCTGACTTGGCCTGGTTTTCCATTTTTATTACTATAGTGTTAACTTAAACTGACATTGGAATCTTTACAACATGCTCCATAAAAAGTGGATTGGATTTGACTAACTTATACTATTAACCATTAAAATCTTGCCAACTGAAAAAGACATTAATTAATCAATCAACGTTTATTTGTAGAGCACCTTTCCTACACAAGGCAACACAAAGCGCCTCACAACCCACATCATATCCAGCAAAACATAAACATTAAAATCTACATATACATAAAAACACAAGAAATATTAAAAACAGATTAAAAACATTAAAAACACACACAGGATTAAAATAATAAATGGCCACAATGCACTAAAAAGAGTAAATATAAAATATAAAAAATATAACATCCTTCAGTTGTATGCACAGCTAAACAGAACCGTTTTTAACCTGGATTTGAAAAAAAAAAAAAATTATAACACAACAACTAAACCCTTTTGGATAATAATTAAACTAACCTTAAGGCAAGGCAAGTTTATTTATATAGCACAATTCATACACGAGGCAATTCAAAGTGCTGAACAAAATAAGAAAGCATTAAAATCATAAATAATCACAAAACATTAAAAAGAAAGATGAAAATATAAAATCCCTCAGTTGTATGCACAGCTAAACAGAACTGTTTTTAACCTGGTTTTAAACATTGTCAGAGAGGAGGCCTGTCTCACATCTTCAGGAAGATTGTTCCAGATTTTAGCAGCATGAATCTGAAAAGCAGCCTCCCCATGTTTAGTTCTGACTCTGGGCACTAACAGGAGTCCAGTCCCTGTGCTCCTCAGTCCAGTCCCTGTGCTCCTCAGAGTCCAGTCCCTGTGCTCCTCGGAGTCCAGTCCCTGTGCTCCTCGGAGTCCAGTCCCTGTGCTCCTCGGAGTCCAGTCCCTGTGCTCCTCGGAGTCCAGTCCCTGTGCTCCTCGGAGTCCAGTCCCTGTGCTCCTCAGAGTCCAGTCCCTGTGCTCCTCAGAGTCCAGTCCCTGTGCTCCTCGGAGTCCAGTCCCTGTGCTCCTCAGAGTCCGGGCTGGTTCGTATGGTACTAACATGTCACTAATATGGCTTACTAACCTTAAGCCAGTTAATGATCTTGTCAAGTGAAAGTGTCCAGAAGTATCCATTCTTCCTGGATCTGGGCCAAAACCAGCATCTATCTGTGTTATATCATCTTGGTGAAGAGAAAACACGTCCTCTGTAAGACAAAGGAAATGCAATAAAAGATGCATGTGTAGTGGTGGAATACCGACAGAATTCAACTCTCCATTCTCAATAGTTGATGATGACGAGAGATGTCTGGATGGATTCATAACAGTTTGAAGATTGAAAAAAAAACCTCCATTGCAGACACAATTTACCAGTCACTGTTACCAATTTATTCACGGCAAACTAACGAGAAAAAATTGGTTAAAAAACACACACAAGTACCTGAAGCCTTTTAAACCAGAGAATATGACCTTATTGTCAAAAACAGCGGTGCTAAAGCCTGCTCCGTGAATCACTCCGGGTTTCTCCACTTTTACAACTTAATGGACGGTTTGTGAGGGTCAGGATTAGGGAAGTGTAATGTCATTGTAAATTACAGGAGAGCTAAGCAACATTTACAGCTTTAATGAAGCCGTAATGGAGAAATTACGACATGTTTTTGTGGTTGGGTTGAACTGAAACTCTATTGTTGTTTTTATCAAATCGTTCCTTGGATTGTAAGTGGTCAAAATACTGTGAATTATCTGTTGGAAATGTCATATCTGTGTCGGCGTGTGTTGTGCAATATTTGATCACAGTGAAAACACCTCAATAATTCATGAACTTGTGTATAATTTAGAAGCGTACATGCAACAAGATGCTGCAAGTATTTGTGTTGAATTCACTTTCATGTTTGGCATTTTAGGATTAGCTTATGTGCTTTATGTTAGCTTGAATCATTTAATCATAAACAAGCAAAGACAATGGTTATCCACTCTAAAATGAAATCAGTTTTTAAACAAACCAACATGTACCTTTTTATAGGCTCATAACTGCACTATTTTAATAACTTGTTGTTGATATCACTTTAATTCCACGTCATAAATTCTCAATGACGAGACTTGGCTAATCTCTAAAGGTGAAATATGTGGTCCGCCAACGTCAGACAAATGCTGTAGTGTTCATGATGGTGGTTAAAAACAGAGGAAAGACTCGCACAAAGACAACACACTTAACCTGTTCTTTTTGTCACATGATAAAATGACCTTCAAAACACTTCCATACTAGTGGATTATTATTGTTATGAATCTTAAGAGGGTCAGTTTCATAGCATTAGATTCAATATTTTTCTGCAGGTTTTGTTTTTCCCAGTTTTGCTTTTTTTTTTTTAATAGGGCTTCTGATTTATTCTAATTACATTTCAATATTGTGTGAGTGAAACTTTGAAGACACGAGCTGCCCATGCTCACCCCTGCCGCTTCCTCATTGGTCAAAATGAATCAAATCTGTGAGGCTCGTCTTCATTGATTTAAGGCGACAGTAGCTCAGTTGGTAGAGCATTGGCCTTTGAGCTAGAACAGGGGTGTCAAACTCATTTTGGTCCGGGGGCCACATACAACCTAATCTGATCTCAAGTGGGCCGGACCAGGAGATGCTCTACAAAAATATCCAAAAACGGTACAAAGTCCAACTTTTTGTGCACATAAACACATTTATTTAAAACTTCCTTTAAAACACTATCCTTTAATACTCAGTTTTCTGTTACAAACTTAAATGTAACAGTGAGTTTTCCATAGTGCAAATAATGTAATGTATTTACAATATTACATTGAAAATGGTATTTCACAATATGTATATTAATATTTGTATGTTAGCTTTGTTTTAAGACTCATTACAGAGAAAACTTGCTCACAAAGGTAAAGTAGGTAGACAGAAAAAAGCACTTTAACACAGCACCTCAGCTTAACCATCTTCAGGGCGGTACGGTCCATGGTTATGTTATTATCACATTAACCATCTTCAGTGTGGTAAGGTCCATGGTTATGTTATTATCACATTAACCATCTTCAGTGTGGTAAGGTCCATGGTTATGTTATTATCACATTAACCATCTTCAGTGTGGTAAGGTCCATGGTTATGTTATTATCACATTAACCATCTTCAGTGTGGTAAGGTCCATGGTTATGTTATTATCACATTAACCATCTTCAGTGTGGTAAGGTCCATGGTTATGTTATTATCACATTAACCATCTTCAGTGTGGTAAGGTCCATGGTTATGTTATTATCACAGAGAAAGCATCAAACTGACCATGATTCACTTGAAATGAATAAAACAACTTCCATAACGTGATCCATTCTTAACGACTGCAGCAGTGTCTCTGTGTAAAATACAGTCAAATGTCCAAAAATCATCACCTCCATTTGCAGCTTTGTCACTACACCTGTTTTTACCATCGGTACCAGTCCACACTGTCCAACACACCAGCAACAACAGCAGAACCGGCAGCAGCACCAGCAGCAGCGCTCAAAACTCCTCTGATAGTTTCAGTAACACCACAAATGAATATGTGACATCAGTAACATCAGTCTCTTATCAATGGCAACATGTTGGTAAAAGCGAGTGGTTTCTCAGACCATGTCTGCAGCCTGTGAGAGTTTTAACAAACTCTCTCTCACTGTGCGGCTGCGATGCTAATGTTGTTAGCACAGGTAGCTTCCCTTTACAGCAGCAGAACTAACCTCTCGCTCTGGGCACAAACGGACTGCTGTGTCTTCAGGGCCAGACATCTTTATCTTCTGTTTTCTCAATTCTCCGCTCAAAGTGCCGTATTTTTTGCCGAGTCTTGTAGTTTAAGATGTTATTCCTCCAGCACCGCTCTGGTGGAGCCACTACAGACGCACTGGACTCACCCCTGAGCGCGGCGTCGCGTCGCGGAGCCTCGCGTCGCGGAGCGGCTTTTTAAAATGTATTATTATTATATTTTTACATAAATGAGCCGCGGGCCGTGTCAAATCTCTTGGCGGGCCGGTTCCGGCCCGCGGGCCACATGAATGACACCCCTGAGCTAGAAGGTCGTGGGTTCGAGCCCACCTCAAGACTTTCACCATCGACTCCCACTGATGTCTGCTGTCGTGTCATTGGCAAGACACTTAACCTCTGGGAACAGCAGGTGCCACAGTGGAGCGACTGCGGCTGTAAAGTGCCAAACTGCCGTTGTGTCCTTAGGCAAGACACTTCACACCCATAAAATACTAGTACAGGGTCTCATGGTAAATTGTTATTGTTGTGGTCATTGTTAAAGCTTGTGAAATTTGAAATGGGTCAACTATCACGGCTTCAAAATTGACTCGGCTCTATAAATATTACAGGTTTACCAACTTTCACATTATATTCAGTTAAATGAATTGTATTAAAGCAAATTACTGCATCTTGTGTCCTGGCATTACTCTTTTCTGTGGGGGATGTGAGTTTGTATTTTCCTTAATCCTGAGCGTTGTGTGTCTTGTGCAGGTGTGTGTTTGAACTGTGAGGGGAACACTCAGGGCTCCAACTGTGAGGAGTGCAGAGCCGGCTTCTACCGCAGTCCGAGCAGCGCCCTGGGGGACCCCTGTGTGCCCTGTCCCTGCTCCAACACCAGCTCCAACGGCACCTGCCACACCGGTCAGTACCAGCCTGCTTCCATCCAGACTCACATTCAGCAGCTCCTACACTTGTCTGCTCTTTCTCCGTGGTATTTCGTCTCTATCAGATCATCCTTTCATATTTTGTTTACTATATCCTGCTATGTTGATCTAAAACTGTGTATTATCAAACACTTTCATTGGCTCTGTTTGAATTTGAAAAACCCACTAGTATTTAGTTGCATTGCATTGTAGAACCTGCAGATTTCAACGTATGTGTTGTAAGATGGTTGGGTATTATTTTTGGACCAAGAGTCTGATGCCAATGACTGGACGCTCAAAATATACAAATAATTTAATTCTTCACAAATTTGTCAATGTAGGTTTTTGAGGTTTGGTTCTGAAAAAAACAACATCATTCTTATTTTGTCCCATGATCTCAATAATTTTTACCTTGGCATTTCATGTTTTAGACTCTGAAAATTATTTGAAGTTGAAAATCAATCATATACATTTATATGTGTATAAATGTATATTTATATGAAGTGTAAATAGTGCATTATACTTGCCGACCAATAAGTGTATTTAGCAGCATGGTGGCTGAGTGGATAGCACTCTCGCTTCTCAGCAAGAAGTGAGTGGAGTTTGCATGTTCTCCCTGTGTCTGCGTAGGTGTCCTCCGGGTGCTCAGGTTTCCACTACCACTAAAAACATGTAGAATAGGTCTGGTATGCGCCTCCTGTTCTGGCCCTGCTCCCATCTCTGTGTGGAGTGGGAGGACAAATGCCCACATTTGTAAACTGCTTTGTGACTCTGGTCTGTGAAAGGCGGTATATAAATAAAGATTACTTCCTACTTACTGTTGTTAAAGTTCTACATCAAACACGAAATGCCCCCACTATGGGACAAATAAAGGATTTCTTATCTTATCTTAAATATGGCCACTAGATGTCATTGTTTCAGGTCAGACTGACAGTGTTGATGCTTCAAAACAATAGCGATACAATTGCAAGAAAAGCCTCAATACTTCAAGGCTCCATAACCGCATCACGAATAAAATCTTCCTTTCCTTTCCGTCAGAGGGAAGAGTTGAATTTGTTTTTATTGTTTTTTTTTTCAAATTTGAAAATTACTGACTGCAAACAAGAACATATCGGAGACACTTCTTCCATTTATCTTCCAATCAAAGGCATTGATCTCTACAGTACGGGGTTCTTTAGGTAACCGGATGTTTACATGTGTATTCCAGACTGTCTGGGATTAACTCAACCTATGCGACCCCTCTGATCTCATCTGTTTCTGCAAATGACCTACTTTCCTTCACAATCAAACATGTCCGCTCCGGGGTGAACGCCGGGTTTACGACACAGCCCTAAATCATGACGAATCTGGGGAAGAATTGCTATTTCAAAACACCTGGTGAATCTCAGGGGTTACATTACGAGGGGGGAAAAATGCGCAACTAAAACATGTCTTGTCCAGTCAATTTGAAATCTTATCAGTTCTTGGTATTATTTAAAATTGCAATTACCCTTAATGGATTTTTATTAGAATCAAAACTTCAAAATACGTGTACAAAAATACCACTAACTTGACCAAGCCACTGATTTACCACTGCCTTAGTTTAACCTTTACATTTTCACACAGTGACTCAAATGGGGAAGTCGTCTTTTCTGCTGAATAATTTACTTTGTAACCTAGTTGTGGAGTACCCCTTTTCTCTAACGCTTGCCTTCTACATTATGGGTCAGTCAGTGCCAATCGCTGGGTTTAGCATTTGCAGAGACCATAGAAGAGGCTACAGAACAGCCAAATTCAGCTTTTCTCACAAACCGGATCAGACCACTCTTGTCTCAGTATACATGCAGACTCAGACCTCTCTAGTCTCAGTATACATACAGACTCTGACCTCTCTTGTCTCAGTATACATGCAGACTCAGACCTCTCTAGTCTCAGTATACATACAGACTCTGACCTCTCTTGTCTCAGTATACATGCAGACTCGGACCTCTCTTGTCTCAGTATATATGCAGACCCGGACCTCTCTTGTCTCAGTATTCATGCAGACTCAAACCACTCTTTACTTTGATTAATGGGATCCAAGGCGTGTTAGAGAAAAATTTCACCCATAAGCACTTTTCTATTAGGCTTCCTATAGCTTAGCATTGTCCATTTCCTGGAGGTTAGCATTGTCCATACTTATACAGGAGGAAAATTGCATCAGGTAAAAGGTATCCCATATTCATCCAAATACTTGGGCCTATCCAATATTCGTGTGATATTTTCCCCTGTGTACTGTAAGACATCTGCTCGTCTCGACTCTTATCTCAGTGGTAATGATCACAGTACAAACGGTGGCGACCAATCAGTTATCCAATCACCCTACTGTGGAGGATTACAATCTATGGAATAATTCTGTGGAAAGATGCACAATGTATAATTTTGCACAGCAACCAAAACATTCATAATTTTGCCTGGTAAAGTACAGTCCAGTACAAGCCTTCCCATGATCTTTCTGTGGACGATGCCGTGTCCACGTTGGTAGCTATTAAACGGCTCTAGTTGCAAACCTAACCTCAGACTTAGTAGTAACTCTCTGTCCTCTGTGGCTCCTGTTAAAAACATGCAGCGGTTCATTGATGGTCTTCTCGGTGATCAATGGTAAACTGTTTAGCTCCAATAGTGTGACCTTAATTGTAGTTTGGCTCAGGCCCAGCTCTGAAGCCTCGTGGGCAGATTTCAGAGCGTTCAAACAGCCTGGGCTTATCTGTAGTCTGACGTGTAATTGACCCACAGTGACCCTCTGTGTGTGCAGTCTGCTCAAACTATCAATCAGTTCTTGTACTGTTTGTTCCGACGAGTGCGTACGCTTGTCTTTCCCCACTTTTAATTATTGTATCATTGGTTAATCATTGGTAAACATCATCTACGGTGTAATTTTAGGCTCTTCGAAATTGAATTGATTTGAAATTGATGTCTGATAGAATTTGCCTACATGCTTTTATCGTCATGGAGATCTGTCTGTCTTTGTATGTTGTTTTTCTATTGAAGGGAATGAAACGTTTCCATATCATAGAGTTAAAGAAGAACCATTATACATTACTTTTGTCCATAACAAATATATATTAGATGTTTTTTTTAATGATAATAACAATATCTCAAGTACAACATGCAAGCTTTGAGCCTGTAACTCCCTATGCTATCACCAGAGGGAGTGATTTTTTTTACGAATTTGAAAATTACCGGCTGCAAACTTAGCCATGTGATTGTAAAGAACATCAATTTACCTGGGAAATTGTCAAAACTAATTTATGGGCAATACTTTTGTTTCAAAGGGCATACAATTGTGACGTCCTGGTACAATAACATCATACTATTACACTTTTAGACAGAAGGGGCGGAGCTACATGCCATTAGTGTGGATGGATCTAAAAAGAAAATGTATCGATATATTCATTTTAAAGTTAAATCTTTAGTGTGATAATCCCACTCAATACTGTCAGCCCGAAAGCTTGTTATGATCTAACACTTAGAAGTAAAATGTTTTCAAGATGAGTATATTTTAACACTATAAGGTGAATCATTTTGTTGTTGTTTTATCTTCACTTAAACAATTGTAGAACTTGATGCAATTAGAAGTCTAAAAAGATTGCACTGGAAGTAAATCTTCATTCCAGCTGCACTCACAAGACCGTTCCTGCATTGAGAAAAACATAATATTCATGATTCACTCGCAGTTTCTCAGCTAAACTGGAGTCGACAGAGCAATGTCTTGAATGCAGGGGTAAAAATATCACTTAAACATGAATCCATCTGAAACAACTTTCTGAAGGTAAATGATTTAAACCAGTGGTTCTCAAACTTTTCACACCAAGTACCCCCTCAGAAAATACTTGCCTCTCCAAGTACCACCACAAATGACCACACCACACAGTAGCGTAGTAAGCCGAAGTATTCATCAATAACAAGGCAGAGGTTTCATTCCTAAAGAAGTATATTTAATGTAATATTTTACACAGTTTCAACAGTAAGACTGCGCTTAAATATAGGAAAAAAAATTGTTTTAAATGTTTCATTCATTGCGAACCGCAAAGCCTCACTGTGAGTGATATTCTGGAGTGGGATCTTTGTCCACAGAAGGTTTGGACACTGGTGCGCTTTAGTTTCTAAGGCTTGCTCTGCTGCCCTCTTACATCTGTCGTTTACTCACAGAGACATGTTCTCATGGTTTGGATCAAATGATCGTTTGTTGCTCTCTGTTCCTTTTGCACAGAACTGGGAAAAAAACTGCTCCTTCTACATGGAACGTGTTGCAAAAAGACTAGAAATGATCTGATCTTATTTCCTTGAATGCTTTTAGATCCAGATTGAGACATCTTCAGTGAAATTTAACTGTTTTTATAATCCGTAATTTTATGAAATTGTGTGTTACTGTTGTATAATCTGTATGTGACTATTTTATCATCTGTATGTGACTGTTTTATCATCTGTAATTTTATGTAATTTTTGTACACGAAAAAGAGGTTCTCATTGACTGCCAGCCATTTTTTGATGACTTCACTGATTTTTAAGACTCACAGAATATTGTGTGCTATGAAAAATATGAAACCAGAGTCTGAAAGACAGGACTGTCTACTTTCAGCAGCAAAAAGAAGTTTGTTCTTAGTTTGTTTCGTTCTCCTGTGATCTCCAGTCAAAAAGAGGAGAGTGTGACAAAAAGCACCAGTCTTAGACAAAAAAATTTGAAAATGAGGTTTTTGTGAAAACAGACGAACTGCAGAAAAGTGATTGTAAAACTATTTAGTTTAACTTTAGCATCTCCTCAAACATGTCCAGGATCTTACATGTTAGAAAACAGCAACACGTTTTGAGAAAGTGTTTTTAATGTAAAATAATAAGTTTTATGGCACACACACATCCACAAAGTGTTGCTCAAAAATTCCAAAATGTACTCATCCAAAAAATGTCAAAATGTACATATTGAAAGTAGAGCCCATGACAAACTATGCCAGATAGAATGGCCAGTATTCATCCATTAGG